TGGTATAAAGAATAAATAAATGAAATAAATCTGGCATGAATTTGAGTTCTTACTCAAGCTTCAACAAACAAAAAATTAAGTGTATTACCACAATCAACACAATCAGACGATAAACGACCTGTGTGAAATAACCATCCAAAGGCCTTTGTGTTCTGCTTATGAGGCAGAGTGCCTCTGAGGTCACTTCAGTGGGACACCTCGGCACCGAAAAGGCTGTTAGTCCCACACTGAGGGACAATAACCTGGCATCAGCTGACAGGACAGGTGTATGGACACTGTTTGGTTTCTCACAGAGAAGAGAAAACACAACACAGCTCAACATACTGCTCAGATACTTTAAGATTTAAGAAGCGAGTTCTCTATCAATCTTCAGTCTTAATTGTTAATACTGTACACATTCTCACTGGCGGTAAGGCAGTCACTACAGGATTTAATCAATGCAATATCCAATCTTGAAAATCCCTTCCTTTATTATGACAGGGTCTAATTAAACATATTTTGTAAAGGCAGATGTTATCTTTGGTTTTAAAAGTGTAAAACATTAAACATGATTCTAGGGACACAAAACATTTTTATTTTAGCAAGGAGAGGTGAAATCTGTGAAGAAAATACATTGCATAGGCATGGAGAAATCAAGCAGTCATACTGGATGCAGTGAGAATGTGAGAATGTGTACTCAGTATGGTGCACAAGGTCATGTTAAGATAAAAATACCTAGTAGCCTTTTATGGATCATCTTTTGAGTTGGGCCTGACACTTGATGAAGTGATCCGTGTGCATTGCTCAAACATTCTCACACAGTTCTTTCAATTGTAATGGTTGACATTTTTGAAACTTTTGGAAAGTTTTATTGTTACGGATGTCAGTGATGATATATTACTGTATAGCAGGGCAAATCTTACATGAAGTTCAATTTTTTAATAGATACATATATCTGTAAATGTAGCAAGTTAACAGCTGAAAAAAAGTTCTCATCAATAAATGGACAAGAATGCAAGACTGAAAATCTGTTGTAGGAAAATATTGTGATGGCTACCTTAAAGCAATTAATAGATGAAGTCTAATTTGATACGTTGAACAATTTATAGTATAGATATATAAAGTATATTTCTGTAGTTTCCTCTGTTTATTGGACATGATAATGCTTTAAGGACAACACTGTGAACCACTCAGCAACCTTCTCCTAAGCGTGGGCCAAATAGCAGAGATGCCATATGCATCCAGGCATTCTGTATCACACTTTTCATTGCATCCCCTAAATAAATCTTGCCCTCCTCACTTGACAAGCCAAGAATAAAAAGGGGACACACACCGTGGGGTGTAACTATAGAAACAAACACACCAAGCTTTTTATACTCTGTTACTCCTGGATTTCACTCACATTCTTCCCATGGCAAAGAAGTGCACTGCAAAATATCAACCTATGGACTAAAAAGTCAGATCTCGATCATGAATCCAAATTCTCTTTTAAAAGACAAAATGATAATGTTATAATGTAATGATTCCTAAACCTTTTAAGGAAAAAATCAATGTACCTCTCCAGCATTAGGTGATTGGTTGATAAAGAATGGAAAACAACTACTAAACGTGTTTTCTTTGAATCAGAAGCATGGCATTCATTGAGCCATTAGTTTGGCTTTGTCCAGATTAGATATTAAAGACATGCCGTGCCTTTATTGAGCGTCTATGGTAAACAGAGAGAGAAGTTGGGCCGAGGCCAGGCCATGCTGCCCAGGATCAACTCTTCATCCAGGGGGCAGCTAATGATGACAGCAGGCAGTAATGACCTTATGATAAATGGAAAACAAAGTCCAAGTGGATCTTTTCCCTGTATCCCTAACAGCCACCCAGCCACGTTTGTCAAGATGAAGCCCCGTTCAGATCCTCCATCACTTTCGTTAAGCTTTTTAGAAAGATGTTTGCCTTAAAGGTTCTATTTGAAACTTTTAGAAAACCCTTGTTAATAGTGACACCAATGGCCGTTAAGTGAACTGCAGTCACTGTCCTGTTGCTCCGTACACAGTCCGTAGGTGAGTGAGCGGCATCCTGTGCTTTGGCCATACGGTGACAAACATTGGACCAGTAATTCTCTACTGGCTTTTGACCCACATTTTCCCATGGTCATCAAGTCACCACCACCTTGTAAAGAATAAAACCAAGCAAATGTATTTTTTTTAAATAAAAATAATTTAAAAATAATTGAATATATACATTGTCATATTTTCATCCCTGCAATCAGAACACAATACTCCAATAACAAACAAAGACAAAATTCAGATCAGATCAGACACATTTATACAATCATATATATTCGTTATCATTTATTTTCATGCATCACAAGTTGTAAATATGACCTCATTTGAAAATGTGATGGAAGAACCATTGAAATTAAGTATAGTAATGGCTTCAATTCAGACAATTTAGTTGATTTTTTTTCCTTCAAAAAATAGGTTAAAAATGACTAATAAACTTAAATCATTACAACATTCCACAAGTTCGCACACTGACAGAAGCTTTAATGGATGTTTTCCCTTTATGAAAGAGATCATTCTTCACATTCTGAGCGTGTCCATAAGCCTTATCACTCGAGAACATCTCAACCGTTCACACAGCTGGTGAACAGCTCAGTCCAGCTGTGTTGGACAATTGTAGATATGTATCACTGTCAGTGTGTGTATGCGTCTGTACGTATACAGAAGGTCAGCTACAGGTAAAGGTCTGCAGCATCAGAGCTCATCTACCGCACAGACGTAACCTTGGTAGTTCTAATGTCCACCTCCATATGCAGTTCATTAAGTGCACATATGTGTGTTCATAGGAAAATTAATTACTTTAATCAATAGATACACCCACAGAAATATGAGGGATGTTTGCATGAGTTCAGATCTGCGCCACTATCTTCAAACATTATTTAAAATGACACTTTTCATGATTTTCTTGTGTTAGAATAAAGCATCTATCCTGAAATTGACCATCATGTCATGTTATGTGTTTGTCTGTGGAGATCACCCTTAAACCTTGCTCATTCCACATCTGATGTAGTTCATCATTGCGGTTTGTGGTTCATTAGAGGAGACCAGTGTCCTACTCTTTATTGTGGACTATATGAAAAAGTGGTCCGGGCCTTGAAAGCAACAAAAAGAGGTCTATGTACTATACTTTTTATTTATTTTTAAGGATCTTTTATTGAAATTTTGTCAATATTTTTCATTTCTCCTCAATTTTAAAACTATTGCTGACTTGGCTATATCTTAACACAGGCTAACCTCAAATAGCAAATAGCTTAACACTGAGTTTAGAAAGCTTTTTCACCACTTCGCATCACATATAAATCCTGAGTCTCTCTGATGGATGAGATGCTTTCTATGTGCATCAATAGTATGTTTGAATCAATTATCACTGCTGTCTTCTCTCTGTATGTTTCATTTTGCTGGCCTCTCTTGCAATAGAGATCTCAATCTCACTGAGATCACCTCGTCATGTAAAGGTAAAATAATACATTTTTAAGGATCAACTGCAGAATGTGTGAAGTAGCTCACGAAAGTAGCTCTGACAGATTCTTTGAAAACAAACTATGACATCAGAGAGGTGTCTCACCCCCGATAAACTTCTTGTCTCCTTAGAATAGCCAAAGAAGATTGCCCCTACATTTTCTTCACTACAAGCTAGCATCCTAATCATCCGGCCTGTTGTAAATATACACAGCGTATAAATAGAGGATACTGAGACCTGAGACATTTGGATCCACTTCCGAGGGGGAAGAGGTTTGTGTTCTGCTGCACTGGATGATTTGGTGCAGGGTGTCCATGACTGTGGTCAGGTTTGAGGAGTGCACGCACAAATTTTAGATCCGCTCCTGCCATCACTGCTGCACCGCAGGCTCAGTGCAACATTTCATCTGCTTAATGGTGGATTAAAGCATCCTGCGGGCAGATTGATATAGGCTGGTGCTATCACTTGTCTTTAAAGGAGAGTGGAAGCCCATGGAAACAGGCTGGATATAGAAGCTGGATCAGACCCAAACACTGGGCAACACATCACTGTAGATGGAAATTATAAAAATATTATATGGCTCGTGAAATTAAACAGGAATCTAGATCCATATATATACATATAGGCAAGTCCTTCAGTGATGAACCTGAACCCCACACAGCAGTCAATTGTGCTTTATTGTGTGTTAAATTGTTAATTGTTTTATCTTAATAATTAATAATCTTCTATCCAAGTCTCTTTTTAAGGTTTAATCAGCACCAATAATGACCTTAATATACTGGACAACACCGGTTCCAAAATCAGAGACCCAGGAATGTGGGCAGCACAGTGTTGGGGGATTCCTATCTTTTAACACTGTCACTTTGAACTAAATGTGTTTGCACCTGGAGCTCATGTTTGCACTTACAGTAAAACGAGTGGGGGCGATCTAAAAGAACAGTTGGTGAAAGTCAGCAGGGGAGCAGCAGAGAAACAGTATAATGGACTTACCAAGTGCCAATTTACCTAATAAATATTTTTCTCAGGTCAAAGGAGCACATAAAATGTGTCAGTGTTATGCGAGGATGTACTGTTTATATACTTCATAACCTTGTGAATCAAGTTTGTGAATGAAGTTGTCGAGGGTTACGTGGTGTTATAGGATGTTAATAAAGTTATTTTGGTTCTGAAACTTTTAGTATCATTTGAAATATTTGATGAAAAAAGTACGGTTGATAAATTGTTTTATCTTTACTCTCATTCTGTACCGTTTCACTCCACACAGCCATAGCTTCTGGTGTCACACTGTCATTAACGTGGTTGCTTTTGCTTTTATTGGACAGGACAGCTGAAGATATACAGGAAAGGGGGAAAGAGAGAGGATGACACAGGTTGAACTCGAACCGGTGGCCTCTGCAGCAAGGACTCAGCCTTGGTACGTGGGACGCCAGCTCTACCAGGTGAACTATCACTCACCACTTCAAAGACTATAAATAAATGCCTTCTACTGGTAAATAACACCAAAAACATATGGGACAAACATAGAATACTTTTATTTAATACATCATTAAAGTCTTTCAACATAACGGAAACTTTAATACTACTCAATGGAAAAAAAAGCAAATGCAGCATCAACAAAAATAGCATTGCATCCTAAATTAATACTATACCACTAATTAAAATCTTGCCATCCCACTGTATATCATCTTGTTTATTTATATATTATTATTATATTTTACAAATGAGTACCAAAAATACTGTTCAGGGGCAAAAGCTGTAATATTTTGTTATATAGCGTACAGAGACCAGTTTTATGGTTACCAGCCCACAAATAAGGATATCTTTGATTGGGGAGTTGGCAATGAATATAAAATGCCGATAGTTGTATTTACACTTACACTACATTGTTATATCATTTATTTATTTACATTATTTATTATTTGATCATTAACAACAACTTAAAAACCTTTTGTACCTTATTGTAAAGCAGTTCCAGTAACACTTTACTTTAAAGGTCCAGTGTGTAACATTTAGGAGGATCTATTGGCAGAAATGCATTGAAATATGTTATGTTGGTAGGTTTTTATTATTGTATAATCACCTGAAAATAGGAACAGTTGTCTTTTTGTTACTTTAGAAGCATTTTTATCTACAGACACAGCGGGTTGCCTTCCATGAATGCCGCCATGTTGAACCGCCATGTTTCTACAGTAGCAATCTGCAACTACAATGTTAGATCCACTAAATCTCACACACTGGTCCTTTAAGTCACCCTAGTATTTATAATCAGTATATACACATTTAATTAAACTTCTCCTATGAAGACATATTTTATATTATTACAGCTGTGTTTTACTATATTGTCATTCATTATCTGTTTATACAGAAGCTTTCACTTATGTAACTCCATAGTTGTTGACAAACATATTAATAGACCATAAGCTATCTGTTTCCATCTACATTATAGTTTGTTATGAACCATTTATTATATCTTTATATACTGATTATAAACACTTAAAATAAAGTGCTACCGTTGTAACATTTAGTCTATAAATCCAGTATTTTTTGATAGTTTGTAAAGCACACAAATTGAGTAATCAGTAAAATACTTAAAAAGCTGAGCTCAGCTGCCGTTTAACGTTGAAAAAGCTTCTGTGTTACAACTAATTTTGTCTCCAACAATGATGCAGCCACCAACTCGAGTGTGTCCTCTTTCACCCCGGTCACTTGAGTCTTTCTTCAATCTGAAAGAGAGTAAAAAAAAAAAAAAAAGGCACAGAACAATGAAAACAATGTATCCTGTCCCACAGTCACGTGTCCTGCAATCACCTGCTTTTTCCTCTTGTAACTTCTGCTTTGGCCAAGTATATGTGGCCTTTGCCATAAACTTTGACCTCTATGGAGAAACATCTGTTTGAGGGAAAGGATAACTGACATAATCCTACTCCCAATCTATTGATGTGATTTACGCTTAACCATTAAATGGCTTCAAAAAACAGTGTAGTCCCTGAGGGTGGTGTGACAGCATGACAGGGAGTGTTCGTCTTTGGATTTATACAAATATTTGTATAATGGCATATTTCAAAGTGGTATATTGTTGTCACAAACGCCACAATAGTCAAAAACTCGGGTCACAAGTTAATCTGAACTGCACCAATATAAAAGAGTTTGGGTTTAGACCAGTAATGTGATTACTGAGGCTCAGGTTACAGGTAAGACTTCACATTGATCTTAGTCTATACAGCTATTCTGAGTTGAGCCACGGGGATAGATAGGGATCTGTGGAGACCGGTTAGCCACTATAGTGAAAACCTGGCTGCTGAAAGATTGGGCATTCCAAGAGGGATTTAGTAGTGTGGAAAAAAAAATGCTCAACTGAATCCCATGTAGGGATGTTCATCCTTTTCACTCACCCACAAAAAGAAAACCCACAAATGCCATTCATTCGTTTTGGGGTTAAGTAAGTTTGTTTGTTCTACTTAGTTTGACATCTGAAGCAAAGAAGCCGTTTCTGAGAGGCCTTTGTACGATGGGTTGGAAATTAAAATCTTTATTTCACTTAAATCACCACTTGTAACACGGTGATAGTGTCAATCAGTACATCATGTGTCACTCAGCTGAACTTGTGTGTATTTTGTGAACTGATGAATGTCTTTATTGGGGCTATTGACAAAACAAGGGGTGTGCACAAAAACAGAAGTTGGAACAACTGGAGCGATAAAACGCATCAGAACTGACAGATTGATTACTACAAGGTTAAGTTTCCTGAACTACGAGGCAGAGGGATGTTGTTCTACAGCAGTTACATATTCCTGACTCAGTTTTAAAAACTTTGAATACTTGTTCAAACAATTCCATGAAAATATATAAACATGTATAATAGAAAATCCCAGAAATATAAGTTGTACTCTGAATAGTTCAGCTCAAAGTGAACGTAATGTGTCTTTATTTCATAATTGTGACAGGAATCTGGTTCAGATTTGGATTGGGTTATAACTACGCTATGGTCAGGTCTAATTTTAGGTCAGAGTTAGGGCATTCAAACATTTGCAGTGGAATCAATTCATTCTAAAAAAGTTCTTGTCAAGTTCAACTGCACCAATACACCACTGACCAATAGCAAAGACGACTCTTGGCACGACTGACCTTACGGAGAGGTGGAGATTTCAAAATGGAGGAAGCTATTTTAGCTGTGTTGCGCCATCTACTTTAATTTAACCCTCTTCTGTCGGAGTATAAGACGAGGACTGGTTTGTAGAAAGTTATGAGACAGGAGTCGATGGTACAAATGCATCTTTCTAACAACCTGTGTGAATTTACGGTCCCGTTAGCCGTTTTCCACATTTCAGTAACTATGATATTGAATATTGAATGAAGGGGAACAAAGATCCCAGTACAAACAGAAAGAAGCTCTTTTGACTGACTGGCACTAGAATGTTTTTGGCTGGCTGGCTAGTTCACCAAATCGCCCTGCGAGGATTCACTATTTCATCAAGCTTTTACATGCACATATTATACAAAAATATATATTTGATACAACGCAACCTGTTAACCTGTACTCATTAAGTATTTGGTGGTGCAATAGAGTGTGGAATATATACAGGCTTGACACACAGATTTCATCACAATTCTTCGGCGTTTCCATCCGAATGTTTCAACATCAAATATGTCCACACATCAGCTCGCATCACATGAAAGGAAACTAAAGGTTTAACATTTTTAGGAACTTTCATTTAGCATCATATGAGATTCCACCTGAGTTCACATTAAACTGTGTGTGAATGATGAGAGACTGAGATGTAATAAAGCCACGGTGTGAGTCTGACAGCTTCACACAGCCTGAGGAATGTGAAGCCGATGCCAGAGGCGATACCGGCAGGTGAATGAACATCCGTCTGTCAGCAGGCCTCCTGATCACAGCAGCCCTGCCAACTGCACAAAGCCAGGCCAGGAATGTCTAAACCAGCCTGGAGAGGACAACAGGAGAGGAAACTGTCCCTACAACTGTAGACCTCATGTGGGGTTTGCATTCTCGGGGGGTCGCAGGTCGCAGGAGTCATTAGATCTAGCCGTGTGGACATGAAAGCGCTGGATGCTGCGCTCATCTTTTTAGAGCAAAGTAACTTTTTTGCTCCAGTAGTGGCCTAGCTTCCACCACTTTGGTCCAAAGTAAAATATATTGACAACTACAGGACTGATTACCATCAGATAAGGTGCAGATATTCAAGGCCCCTGGAGGGTAACTTTTAGTGACCGACAGGTCAAAGTTTTTACTTATTGAGTGAAATAACTTGACATCTATTAGATGGAGTGGGGGCAAAAAAAGGTGATAAATGAATCCGTGTGACTTTACTGTTATCAGGTCAAAATGCATTTGTGACCAAATAGTCACAAAACTATTGACCTTCCCATCACCCTCAGCTACACTTTGTGTTTAGTGCCAGTTAGCAAATGTTAGCATGCTAACCTGCTAAACTGAACCTGGTAAATATTACCTTCTTAATATCAATATAAGATTGTCATTGTGAGCATTTAGCTAAAAACACTGCTGTGTCACCCGCTAGCGTTGATTTGTTATGAAGATCACAAACCACATACATTTTTTGGTGAAGTCATAACAGGAGGAAAAATTATTTATTAATTTGCTACAACATATTGTTAACATCTATCTAATCCCATCACCAGGGAATCAGCAACAAGGCTTATAATGCCTGTGCACAGATGATCACACTGGTGGACTCCTAAAGATCTATGGTGCTAATCCTAACCCTGACTAAGCTGTATCACCATAAATGCATCTTTACACATAGGTGCCCTTTTTATTCGTTTCACTCCCGCTCCCTCAGGCAGCCTGAGTCCGCCACTGGATGATCATCACAATTATAAATTACAGTCAGTTGTCATTATTAGCATAAACTACACAGCTGTTTGCTCTTTTGGTGAGTTGTAGAAAAGAACAAAGCATTAGTAACCAGACAGAGTAGAGGCAGAACGGTCAATAGATCTCAAAATGTCACGGGTGTGATTGCTCACAGCTAACCCGCTTTGACTCCACATCGCATGACTGTAGTGCTAACTCTATTTCTGTATTCTCCTCAGATTGTTTTCACTGTGTTACCACTAGCTTCCTCTATTTCTTTTGTTAAGAGGCGTGCAAAGAGGCGAAACATGCACTACTAAATTAAGGCATATAGATGTTCTGCGGGCCGCCTGCCAAAGCATGAACTGAAGTACAAAGGAAGAATCTAGAAAATGTGACACTCTTGTTGTAAAATGTGTATGGCGTAAATAGTGAAGGTCAAGGCCTAGCATACTTTGACATCTCTTAAAATAAAAGGATGTAGCTTGGAGCAACAGGGAAAGTCCACTCACTTTTACTCTGATTCTAAACACCTGACTTGTGTGTTGAATTCAGAATTTGAAATTGCGTGCTTGAGTATAAAATAATAAAAGATTGGGTCAATTGTGAAAAATGCTCTTTGGTTCTTGCAAATATTGTTTTTGTGTTTTTCAGGTTGTGTCATGTACAGCGGTGTTGAAATGTATCCTCGTTTGGACTACACATCACAGCAGCCGCTGCACATCCAATTCTGCAGAGACTTGCTCAGTGACGAGAAAGAATGCGAGCCAGTTGACTCTGACATTGGGGCCACATTATTCTCCTGCAGTCACTGTGTACCCTTTAATTAGGATTGTCTGACCTATGACCTTTGGAAAAGACTTCAACCCAGAAGGCTCTGCAGGTCAACGAACCGAAGCAGGAAGAGGACAAGTCCTTTGGTTTTGATAAAGAGGCATCACACAGGAATGAACATTAACATACAGTATGCATACAGACAAAAGAAAGGTATTGATCTGGTGTAGATGTGTAATGATATCATGCGGAAAAGGTCAGAATTGGTTCCAGTTAAAAAACAATCAGCTCATCTCCTTACTCCATTTTGTTTCTAATTTGTTGACAGGACATTAAAGGGAATGGCATCCCTAAAAGTCAGAGGCCAAACACCACTGACGGATTTACTTTGTCCTGTAACGGTCACTTGTATGCCTGGAATGACAAGTAAACCTTTTTCATTTAAACTTTGGAGCTTTAACAAGTGAAACTGACCTGTTCAACTTGACCTTTGCCACGGGATGTGCAAGTTGCACTACCAACAGCTCAATTTCTGCTTAAGATTTTCAGGGATTCATCTACAAGTACAACCTTATTTCCTTCAAAGCCCCTAAAAACTTACAGATATTAAATATTTATCCACTGTATTGAAGGTCCAGTGTGTAATGTTCAGGAGGACCTATTGGCAGAAATAGAATATGTTGTTCACAGGTATGTTCTCATTTGTGTATAATCATCTGAAGACAGGAATGATACGTTTTTATCTACAGATGCAGCATGTCGCCTTGTGTGGAGGCCGCCATGTAGAACCGCCATGTTTGTACAGCAGCCCAAAAAAGACAAACCAAATAGGTTTGATAGGGCTGTTTGCATTTTTTCATGCATTTCACGGCCACCGTAGTCTCTCCCTCGCGGAAATGGAGACTGAAATGAGTGAGTCGCGATCTGCAACTACACTGTTAGATGCCACTAAATTCTACACACTAGACCTTTAATTATTAATAACCAATAAGCACCAATAAACATTAAATAATCCAAGAAGTATGACCAACTGAAAAATGCAACTTTTGTCCATTGCCAGTCTTTATGCTTAGTTAAGCTAACTGGCTGCTGGCTTTCGCTTCATATTCCCGTACAGACACCAATGATCCAGCCCATGTATATCATCTTACAAAGCTTTGTAGGTTGACTCTGATAAACCAAACACACACCAGCAGGCATTCACAAAAAGACACTTTGGTCTTTTTATGAATGCCTGCTGGTGTGTGTTTAACTAAGATGAGGGTGTATCACTGTATATCCCAAAACACTGACAAGAATGAACGCGCTGATGCTTTTATTTCATGCTATATGAAACTTGTGATTATCAAATTATTGAACATTGCTTTTGGATATAACATCTTAGATCTTTTCCACTTTTAAAAGAATAGAGGTCGTCATTAGCCTCTATTTAAACAAGAATGTTACTAAATATGCTAATAATATATCCTAATACTAAATAACACTGACTAATGTTGAGTCATTTTAATCCAGCCTTGACATTATGCTATCCAGGTGCTATCCAAGAGCCTCTCTTCACTTTAAACTGCAACTACATGTCTTACATACCATCACTGTTGGGTGCACTACCTTGTAGATAAAAAAGAAACTATTTTCACACAAGCACTGTGCATTTGGGGTTTTGAAAAAGTAGTAATGAAGCATACTGTAAAATCCTGTTTCTCTCAAACTTAAAAAATCATCAAAATCAGATGAAAAAAGTGATGACACACTGCTGTCAACCTCAAAACTCCATGTACAGCATAAACCCTAAGGGCAGCCCTTTAATGATGTAAGTCTAATAGCTATCTTCAACACTTTGACACTGCAAGTTTTCATTTTTTTGACCAAAACTTGATGGTTTGTGGTAGGAAGTCAAGAGAGGGAAGGGGCAGAACCAACCTCCACCAGCTGTTCTCTGCTCGCAATGTGAAGGGAGTGTCAGTCTGCGTTTTCCGACAGTCCCTCCTTCCTGTAAAGCTGCCCAGGTGTAATGGCTGACCTGCCGATCTGAACCACATCAAACCTCGCAAGCAGGAAGCTTCTCTTCACTGTCATTACTGAGATAAAGATCCTGCGTTCATTGTGCATTGTCATCCTGCCAACCATAAATCTGTGTTTACAGTTGCCATGTTGCCCAAGGAAATTATGACTTTTGCTTCGACTTGGAAGCAGGGAAAGGAGGCAGATATCTAAAAAGTAAAATGAGTCATGAGTATTTTAAACTCTTAAGTATTTGTTTATCATGGGCAAGAACATCTAGTATAAAGACAAAGAATCTGTTTCAGTTTCTTACCCGTCCTCGCCTCTATGACCTGTCTCTGAACCAGGAGCCCCTTCCGAAAAAGAGCGTCTGCAAATAAAACAAGCTGCTTCTAGCTAACTACTAGCCTCGTTTGTCTCACACAGTCAAATCTCAGTCTGTAACTCTCTTTCAGTCGCTGTGAAATATTCATCCCAGGCGGTGCAGACAGTTTCCTCAAACATTAGCCATCAAACATGAAAGCAGAGCTCTGACTGGAAAATAACACAGTAACGTCCCAGGTCTAATTATGCTGGTTTAGTTTATGACCTGTCAGTTCATGTCCATTATCCACAACTGCAGAATGGTGAGCAGCCTTTCAACTTCAGTTTTCAGCTTTCTCATCACTTCCTAAACCAGGTGGGAAAGAGTGAAGAGTTTACTTTTTCCTTTTCTCTTCTCTTTTTTCAAATTACGAGCTACACAGGGAGAACTCTCTCTGGTGACATGATTCAGTTGTCTATGAATTAAGTTTAATTATCACTTCAGGACTTACCTGACGGACGAAATTGTTTGTCACAGACGCATAGATCGAAGGCAAGATGGATTCTCACGTGATTTCGTGATCTTGCTTCAGTGGAACTTTGAATAAAACTAATTGTACATTTTCACAGAGGGGAATTTACTCAGATAAAGATTTAAAGATAAGCGTGTATAAATGTGTCGTTTCATGGAAACATTTGCCATCTTTGAATCTTAGAATAGAGTGTTCACATATGATCCAAATAACTTCCAGTTTTACATAAGGAACAAGGAACTGAAACCATATCGATAGCATGTTTGACAGCTTGTGAGCAGGTTTTGCAAAGATGTTACATGCTGTCAGGTAGTCTAAAGGTATACAAAGGTAAACAAGTTATTGTTTTCCACATATGTATTTTGAATTCATATAAACTATCTCATTGTATGTCATAGATATTTTGGATCAATACTTCCAAAACAACTTTATTAAAATAAAGAAAGGACTTTCTGCGCACCCAAAAACTTCAGTTCAACTTAAAGCATCTTGGTATTTATTCACATATTTTCTGCAAGTAGAAGAGTCTTGTCAGTGTAAGTAAATGTTACACCATCAGACAGAAATACTTCTAGATACCATTCATCTAACAAAATGTGCTCAAGGAAACGACTGCAAGAGGAGCTTGAGGTAAGTCCATCCCCTAGAAATGAATAAAGTATCTCACTAGCACAGTGGTACCGGACCAATCAGCGTCCTTTGAGGAAGTACTGGCAGCTACAGGGTGGGTGGACACAGTGAGTGAGTTGGAGAAAGTTAGCTGCCTCTCCTGGTATTGTGCATACTGGCTCAACGTCACACTGACATGGCTTATGAGACTCTTCCATAGAACAGATTGTTAATGTCATAAGTAACACCTGTGCTTTTCCTACTGATGAATGATGAGTCAGAATGCTGCTGCTGTGAAAAATGTGTATTCGGACACATTTTCCAGCGACATGTTTGCAGCTGAAGACCACATCACAGATACAACTATGTGAACAAGTGTTTAGAGATAGAATGCCTTTGCTGCAGTGGAGATGCTTGAGATTTCTGAAGCTGATGTTTTTGTGCGAGCGGAGATGACCCGTGACGACTAACACGGAGCATCTGAACAGTTAGCTTCTGAGATGTGAGCTTATCATCAGCTGTTAAGAGCAGTGTGAATTCCTCGGGCCTCAGGCTTCAGTCCTGAGTGTTTAGGAAGAGAGAGGGAGTGCAGGTGTGGGCCTTACATCCTCAAGCACATGATGATTAGACTGAGAGGGCCCATGTTAGTACTCGTGCAAGAAGAATCTCATCCATCAGAGCCAGATAGATAGAGCAGGAGGAACCAAAAGGAAACAGGGATGAAAGCCAAACGTGGTTCATGGTTAGCAGAAATAGAGTTGGTTTTTTTGTATAAACAAGTTGGTTTTGCATTAATTAAGTAAAGGAACAACTGCTTTTTCATAATTATTTAAAGCATATAGATCTATAGATGATGGAGATTTATTTTTGACCCTGGAAATTGTAATTTAAATAATCATTTGACTAAAAATCAGGTCCACTTGCCAGCTTTTTCCCTGGTCTTCATCAGTGGATTGAGTTTGCTCAGTTGTCTTGTGATAATGCTGATGGAGACCTTGAGACACAATCGGTAAAAAGCTAATAAATGGATTTATTATTTTGCAGACAGACATATAGTTAGGCTACGTAACACATATAAACAGTTTGAATAAGTGATATACTGTATGTTGTGATACTGACTTTTTCAACTGGCAATGAGACTCAGTTTTGGATGCAGCTTCCCGTGTGTATTTTTAAACTACTGGATGTCAAACTGTCAGTATGATTTACAATTTTGGGGACAAGCACATTTTATAATTTTAGACTTAATGGTTATGACTCCTCTATTTTTAAAATCTTAATTCAGGATGGGAAGCAGTAGCACAGCACCCCCAGTGGATGTACACAGCATGCTGACCTGCAGTTCAGGGTGGGGGTTTTCCCCTCACTAACACCTGAGCTGGTTGAGCAGGGAAGCAGCTGCAGCAGAGCGTCTGTCCACTGTGGTCTTACCGAGTTCCTGAAGAACAGCACGGGAGCAGAGAGGCAATGTACCTCACACCGGACAATCGAGAGGAACGTCCCAGAAGAGTTTTGAATCTGATTAAAAGAAAAGAAGCAAGGGATTAACAGCTGATGGCTTGGAGGTCACAATGTTAAACTCAAAAACCTTGTAATGTGACCTTATTGCTTTCTTATACTGTAAATTAGACAGAAGAAGCAATTAGTCATTAGAATAACAAGAATAACACTGATACAATTACCTCTAAATTTAATGCCAGAGGCATTTATATTAACTAGAGATAGACTGATAAAATCGGCTCATATTAGCTTACAGCAGATGTATCATTATCGGTGTATGAGAGCAGAGATGTGAGAAAAATACAGTCCTTTCTTTGCAAAAGTGCATTATAAGGTTCATCTGAAGCTAATATGAGACACTGTTTTTCAGTTAGCCAGATAAAGTGTCTGTCTTCCAGTATTACAGTCTTCTTGGTATGAAATTGCCTCTTTGTGTAACTATCCCTCGACTGTAACTCAGCAAGGAAACGTCGTCTGGTGAAGAACAAGGGGGGAGTTTTGTACTAAAAAGACCAACTTTGACTTGATTTGACTTGCTCATATCAAGGACTGTGGATTTTTACCATCATCTCAAACAGTTTAACACCACTGGGACGACCAGTATGGAGAGGATAAAGCATAAAGTCACTCGAATATGGATTTTTCATTAAGATAGACTTGGAAAAAACGTAAAAGTCTTTTAATGTTGAATGAAAATGAATTTCAGAGTCCAGTAGGTATACGCAATATACCTGGAGAATAAGTGAACGACTGAGTAGTTGCAAGTTCTCTTTTCTTGTCACCATTTTGCGGAAATTCTTTTGAAATAACATGTTGCAGTAAGTTGTAACTGAGATATGAAGATAGCAAAGGAACTGTCACTCTGTCACTATTCTGTCCACCATGCAAGTCTACAGTAAATACAACAAACTATACAGTAGTAGCATCCTAAAAGGAGGAAGACATACAGTATAATCAGTAGATGATCATCAGATGAGTTTATGTTGTAAACTCTGCGTGACTGTGAAAGGTCTGCAATCAAAACGACCATTTGTAGGGGAGACACTTTAAATGCCAACCTCTCCTCTGACTGAAGTCAGCATTGTTGCTGTTGTTCTCATTTGTCTCCTTCAGCGATTCCACAGAGGTCTTGTTGGAGACGTCGCCTTCATCATCGGTTTTCTCCTCCACGCTCGGCTCCGCGGGTGCAGGAGGACTGGGCTCCACAGGTGCAGGAGGACTCGGCTCAACAACGTCCTCTTTAGGTTTGTCCTCTGAGCTGTCTGGGGACGGTGCCAGAGCTGCAGACTCAGCGCTGGGTTCAACAACAGATTTATCTGCTTCAGCTGTGAAAGACAACAACAACAAACCACACTTCTCGTTCAGTGGTTTTCAAGAACATTAACACTCTTCTTCTACCCAGAATCCAGTTATAGCATGACACATGTAAGAGAAAACACAATATGTGGATACATTAATATAACACGAAGGTTGAGTCATTGGAAAATACTGGAAAAACCCAACACTTATGTCATGCCCTTTGAATAGGAAGTTGAACTGTTGCAATATATTCATTGTGTAATGTTGTTGACATGTTTCTCCATCATTTAAACTTATATGACATTGCAGATTTGATATTTGGTTGACTGCATTCTGTATTTAGCACCCACATAATAACAGTATTTCCACTCATATAACCTGAAGGGGTTTTGCCCTGTCTGACAGTCGGGGGGGGGGATTTCTCTTGAGCAAATGCATCTGAGGGGGCCACCATGTTGGTAATGAGGCGGCTGATTACTGACCAGTTCCTAATGAGCCACAGCCATGCAGCTGTTGGAGGCTGTGGGAAAGTAGGGCGGCCCCATCATTATCTGACCCAGGGTTAGGTGGAGGGAAAGCGGAGATGAAGGGGAGAGGAAGGTGTCCACATAATTCTGCCATGAGTAAGATGGATCCTCAGGCATCATTCCAATCTTCAGAGGATCATCATGTCTGTCTGTTTTATGGCGGATGACTACACTCTTTGTCACAGGTGGACTCTTGACCTGACTGTCCTTTTAACTCCTTTTAATATACAGACTGGAAATGTGATAACAAATAAAAAAGGTTATTGGTTCATTTAAAGAAATAGTTCAACCTTTTGTGAAATGTCTTTCTTCGCTTTCCTTCCATGAGTATAAGATTGATACCACTCTTGTGTTTTGTGCATTACGTATGCAGACTCGTACTGCCAGGTGGCAGTTACCTTAGCTTAAAGACTGGAAGCAGGTGGAAACTGTTAGCCCAGCGGTCTCCAAAGTTAAAAAAAAAATCTGCCTACCAGCATCTCTAAAGCTCACTAATTAACACTTGAGGAACAACAGCTGGGTGCAGTGACTACCCATAGTCTTTGTGAAGTCAATAAATAGTTACACGTACATAACTCTCTCTAAAATATCTCAGCAACTATCAGATGGATTGAAATTTGGTACAGATATCCATGGTGCCCAGAGGATGCATCCTAATAACTTTGGTGATACCCTGGCCTTATAGTTAGCACCAGTACTTTAATTTATTACCAAGAATTTTGCAAAGCTATTGACATTCCCATCAGCCTCAGCTGTAGTTTGTGTTAAGTGCTAACTAGTAAATGTTAGTATGCTAACACCAAGATGGTGAGCAAGGTCAGCATTACATCTGCTAAACACCAGGATGTTAGCATTTTTATTCTGAGGCTGTTAGCACGCCCACATAAGCATTTAGCACAAGGACAGCCTCAGAGCTGTCTACAATTGAGTGAGAACCCTCTCAACTTTCTTAAACAGACAAGCAAACAATCACTTCCACATCCCACAATGATTGGCCAGGTGCGTGGAAGAGAGAGCAGAGTCTCAACTTTTCAAAGATTATCCAAAGATGTTCCACAGGTACTCCCATATTTGAGCAATTATCGTGTCTTGACCCTCTTTGTGATGGCAGGCTTTTCACCCTGTGTTTGAGTGAGCCTGTGAAGAACAGTTATAAAGGCTTTTGCCTTCAGATGTGACGAATCATTGTACAAACTAGTTTATTTCAAGCACTCCTCCATCTCCAAACACACAAGAAACAACAAGTTAATTAGTGAGCTTTGGGGCAGTTGTATGTATTTAACTTTGGAGAGAGATATGCAAGCTGCTTCAAGTCTTAATGCTAAACTAGACTACATGCTTGCCCACTCTTAAAGGCCCCTGTACACCCTGAGTCTACCCACACAGGTCATTTCACTTTTTCTGGCTGATTAGACCACTTCTGAGGGCTGTGTGGGCGTGTACATACAGTGTTTGATCAATATCTCCCACACTCTACTGTGTGTGAATGATTACACCTTTATCATTCTTATTGGTCTGGTGACCCCACGTGAGCCCCATCATAACCCTGCCCAACATCAACGTGAGCGACGGTCTAATCAGCCAGAATAATTGAAAACACATGTGTTGGTGTGCTGGGACTTTAATGACATCGATGTGGTATCGATCTTCACATCAAAGAAGAGGAGAATAATTCGCAAATTATAAAACTGTGTGGGATTTTTTTTTATAGAAACCCATTCCAAACAGATAACACAGAGCTAATACAATTTAATTTGACCAACAACATTACATTTTATTGTCAGACATTTTTGCCTTCTTGGCCATGTCTTTGAAAATAAAGATTATAAACCCAATTAGTTAGAAAAGGAAAAGAAAGGAGAAGACGTATTTGCACTCAACTCACAGGAAGTGACCAATCAGACTTGCTGGTGAAATATTTTCTACATGCAAAGAGGCACTCAATCCTGGTATAAGTTGACTAACCATTGATATGTTTTGCCTCTTTCACCTCTTTTGTATCATTTAGTATGAAATGTAAAATGTTTCTGGGTACTAATCGTCTGACGTTATACTAGTTGCCCAGGGTTGCTGTAAGTTAGTTTAGTCATCATTTTGCGGAAGGATGTTTGTTTTCCTGTAACACTTCTTTTAATGCTTATCTCATTCTGTGGTTTAAAGAGTCACAAACATTTGACTCTCACTTTAGATGTAAAAACAACTCGCAGGACACTTCATGTAAGAGCTGCTCCTTATGACAGTCACATTAATTGTATGCCAACACAAAGAAAAGGTTTATAAAAGGGCCCGTGGGAACAAGGGCACAAAGTGTGAGTGTTTCCGAGAGGTCATGGGTGAGGGGTGGCTGAAGCTGTGGCTGTTGTGTTAAACAAACCTGTGGTTATGTTCAGTCTAATGACACATTTCTAATAGATGCTGATTAAGATTAACTTTGGAGAAACCAGAGGAATCTGGTTGCTCACCTGCTCTTGCTTCAACATTTCCCTCCCATAAGAGGAAGAGAACCATTTGAGAGGTAGCTGCTTTTCAAAGCGGCCATCAGCACTGTCCATTTAAACAAAGTGCGGCCCAGGGCAGACAGACAGGCCCAGACATGAACTGTATCTTTTACCTTGCTAATTCGGCCTGGGAGGACATCTTTGAGTAAAACAGGAACACTTCATTCATTCTCAGACAAATGCCAAAGCAATAAGACAAATATAAGCACTTATTACACTGTATGGCACCAAATGTTTAACATTTTGCATAAAACAAAGACATTATAAAGGAACTGATTCTCTGAATTCACAAATATTTGTGATGTTGTTGCCCAATATCTGGATTTTAAAACCTTTTGACTTATTTTCTGACTTGCTGCATATGAAGACAAAGACTTTAGAATGTTTTTTATATATTGAGAATTAAATTATACATAATAAGACTTTCTAGATGGCAAAATGGCAACAACAACCACTGCAGGAGATATGAGGGATCAGCACCTATGGAAAACTGAATAAGGAATTCCTTTTTTTAACTTGGGATTCATTCCCATCTAGTGGTAACCATGGGTACTGCAGGTTGCACGTTCATCCCATCTCCTCTCAAACTACAGAAGTGCTGTGTGTCAGTTGTGCATACGCTTTACGTCACAGATACAGTATTTTCTGTGGTCCAAACTGATCGAAATACATTTGTACAAGTTATTGTTCAGCCCGAGTCATTCCGCTCTGCAACTTTTCAGATTAGCCTCTTATGAAATTACCAACTGTGCTCACAATAAATTCACAAACTTGCTTGACATATAGTAAATATCTAACTCTTTTACTTCAGATTTGTATTAGGCTTACAAATCAGTGTCTGTGGTAGCGCAAAACACATTTTCTATTCTGGCTTAAAATTTCTATATATGCCTGCAGGAATCTCATACTATCGCCATGTTGTAGCGAGCTGTCACAAACTGTACTTCCTTTTATTCTGTTTAACTGATCTTAAGAAAGAGGAAGGAAAAGAGTGCACAATGATCCCACAACAACACATTTTAAAATTCACAACTTTGCTACAACTCAAACAAATATCCTGCTCTGTTTCTCTGAGCTCCATCGATACAACAACACAATATGTTCTTACCTTTGGGCTCGTCCTGTACTTCAGGTTTTTCCTCTGGTTCTTGTGGCTCTTTTGTAGTAGTTTCTGCACTTTCAAAGGTTTGCAGACCTAAAAAGTGTACGTGGATCAGGATTATAGTATTTTCTGACTGCAACCACAGAACAGCACAATCTTTTTGGATTTGTACAGTTATTTTATTTTGTTACTGACCATTCACAGGAGCATTATCGACAGGCATCTCAGGCTCCACAGTGCTGAGAGGGATGTTGGCTTCATCCGGTCTGGAAGTGAAGTCGACAGAGTAGCGCTGTGGGAAGAGGAGATTCAGACACACACATAATGTCACAACATTAGGGGAATGGTTCGACATTTGGACCACTTTCATGTCTGTACACTAAATATGAAGGTACTGCCATGCAGCTGGTTAGCTTAGCTTAGCATAAAGACTGGAAACAGGTAGCCTGGCTTTGTCCAAAGGTGAAAACATCTGTGTACCTTAAAGCTCACTGATTAACCCTCTACGTGTTAATAGGCTATAGGTTTGCTGTTCCATTTTTAATGCTATGCTGACAGGCTGATGGGTATAGCTTCATATGTAAAACAAGCACAAGAATAGTATCAATCTTGTAATCTCAACTCATGGAAAGAAAGCAAATAAGCACATTTCGCCAAAACCTATTGCTTGTTTGGTTAATGGAAGCGAGGAGCTACTCTACTTACCCTTCCTCTCCTCCGTGCCAAGAAGCAGGCAACACCAAATCCAAAAGCTACGAGCACGATCACAACTAGGATGATAATGCCTGGAGGAGGTAATGCAGTTCATGTTTATAAAGATATTTGCTCACATTGTGGTTAATCTGGCTCCAGACGAAGACTAGAAGAAACAAATCTACTCTATATACATTGTGGTTTGATATCTTTTGTCAACATGTGCACATTTAAATGTAACTCACCAGTCCTGTCGCCTGATGTTGCCAACGGAGGTTTAGCAGTGATGCCTGTAAGAAAAGTTTAAGTAAGAAAAGAAAATGTTTACATTTTAAAAGAGGAAAAAGCTGTCATCAAACAATGAATATGAAGTTGGGATGCCAGTATAAACCTGCTAATGAGCCGTCAGTGTCATAAAGGAAAGGTGCTTCCAGGCTCCCATTATCAATTACATACTCAAATGGTTTAAAGCTGCATTAACAGATTCTTTTGGCAGCTAGGGGGCAGCAAAACAAGCTGAAAACAGTCAAGTCACACCTTTCATAGTAGGTAGTCCTTCAATCCGTTGTTTATTATCATATATATTGTTATATAAAAATACTGATTACTGCAGCTTTAAAGTATTATCAATAATATTCATTACAAGATCCAATTTAACAAGCTGGTGTGTGCAGCAACTAATTATGCTCATGTTTAATTTATACAGTACCAATTCCAGGCTATGCAGCTGTATGTAACTGTACTCACCAAACAGTATCACAGTGTTTGCTAATGTAAATCCTCAAGCAAATAAGGGAACACCAAATACTAGAATATTGTTTATCAGCAGTCTCAACTCACTTTTGTCCTTATTTTTAGTGGTTGTTTTAGTGGTTGTTTTAGTGGTTGTTTTGCTTGAAGGACCAGCCGAGAGCATTTTGGGCGTTGTATTTTTGGAGGTTCGGCCATCTGTAGAACCTCCATCACCTGAATCAGAGAAGCATTTTATTCCACAAGCAAATCATAATAAAGAGATTAACAATCATGGACTGAACATACTACAGACATGTTTTTTGGAAATCAACATGGGTACAGGCATAAGCCAATACATAGTTCAGATAATAGCTGTCACCTGTCAGCTTTGTTGTTGAAGGTGGGATGGTGCTGCTGGTGTTGGTGATATTCATGGCACTGCTGGTAGTGGGCATAGTCGAGTTGGCACCAGTGGTGGTGTTGGTGGTGTTGGTGTTCAAGGTTATTTCATTATTAGCAATAGTGTCATTAGGAATGACTGTGGAGCTAAAGTTATTTGGAGATGTGACAGAGGATGTCTCTTGTGCTGTGACAGACGCCACCACCAAACCTGCGGAAAAAAACGGCCTTTTCAAAACGATCCAATAGGTGAACACAAAAATGACCAAAGTTTAAGCTGAAAAACCTTTTTTCATCATCAAGTTCAGATTCAACAAATGCCCGTTTTGTGTTTTCATTTTTTTCTTTGTGTCTGTGTATATATACAATAAAGAATTGATCACAGACGATACATTTAACCGTAATTCATTTTCTGATCTGTGACTCAACCACGCACTGCATCTTCAAACTACATGACTCACAGCAGCTCTGTTAACTGTAAACCTCGAAGGGAACCAGCTGTACGCAAGTACCATATGTTAAGGTGTGACCCCGTTCCCCTCTCTGATGATGATATTATTAAATTAAGCATTTAAATTGTATTGTTTTTTTACCATCAACAATTAATTAGCTGAACCCATACAGAACAACATCAAAACGAGACAAGACTAACACTTAGGTTAGTCATAAAATGAATGATGAACACAGTGTAATCTGGTGCATGTCCATAAAACACATAAACATATAAAGAGCCTCACCCAGGATAAAGAAGTAGGGGCCGATCGATGTCATTGTAAGTTTGTTTGATGGCAGCAGCAGGTGGGAGAAGCTACAATGTTCAGATATATTGTTGAAGCTCTTGGCCCGAAGGTGATGCTTTCAAATGCTGCTTTTCTTCCTGTATGCCTCTGAGCATTGCATGCTTAAAAAATAACCCCCAAAAAAGAGGATCAACGCCTCTGACCACAGCAGGATGCATCATACAACAGTGTTGCTTAAACAGTAAGAGGAAACATCATGCTGGCACATTGCTTCAGACTCTCACTACAGAGCAATACGAGGTAGCAGGTGTGTATTGTTACTGTCAAAATGCTTCTAGTCATTGATTTTGCAAACAATATAGCATATTTGTGTCAGCTGCGCACCTGTGAGAGACACAAATATTGTGTCTAATATTTATGTGTTTAAGGGATTAATTTGCCAATTTATGTTTTCAGTGTATTTACTCTAAGCAATACATTGTAAAGTCATAATTACCAATTGTATGTCTTGTTCTTGAGAAACTGATGCTGTTGCAAAATAGGGTTACAATGTGCAATTTTCTCATTATTGTCAGTACTATTTTCTGCCCACTAGATGTCGCTGTGACTATGGGGAAAGACGCCAGATGGGGCTAAGACAGTTGCCCTGTTCTCTTGCTGAAGGTATAGACTTACTTTAACTGTACCTTTATGTATTTCTTGTCTGATATAGTGTGAAAGAAATTAGGTAAATATAGGAATCATGATTTCAGGTTTTATTGCAGTTTTTTCTATGATAAAGATCAATAATAATATTGTTGAGGCAAAAGAGGACAGCAGGGTATGTGTTGAGGTGGTTGAGGAAAATATTGTTGATGTTGAATGTTGCAGTTGATCTACAGAAAATGAATCACCAACTGTTTTGACTGTCATTTATAAGGCAAACTTCCACCGGTTTCAGCTTCTTTTCTTTGTCACGTGAATATTTTGCGATTTTGGACAGTGAGAGACATTTGAATACATCTCCTGGGGCTCTGGGCAAGTATTTGTCACTATTTTTGGGGGGATTTTATAGACTAAACAATTAAATGATTAATCGAGAGAATTATCAGCAAATTAATCCATAATAAAGATACGTGTTAGTTGCTGTAAACGTGTGTGTGCGGTCAAGCGTGTCAGCATTACTTGTCTTCGTGTGGGTGGAGTTGTCGTAAGGGTGTATGTGTGCTCAGCCTTGTAGGTTCATTTATTACTGTTTATTTCCCCATGCCAGTGGTAATCAGCAGCAGGATTAGTGTTAACTGCCACCCAGTCACTGGCAGGCTCCACGTGGGGCACCGCAGGCCCCTCCTGCCGACTGGCCTGACCGGGTCTGTCCGGGGCCCACTCACAGTGACAAGGAACTGAGAGTCCGCTAATCCTGAAGAAAGACCCCTGCCTGGCTTCCTCTCTGGGCCACCTATCACCACATCACAGAGCCCAGACACCAGCACCAGGCCTGGCCCGGTGGATGAGCTAATCACTGAGAGGAGAGGAGAGGAAAGAGGAGAGGAGAAGGAGAGAAGAAGGAGAGGAGAGGAGAGCAGAGGAGAAAGTGTGTTTCTGTGTGTATGTGTGTGTGAGAGAGACACAGAGAGAGGAGAGAGCTGGACCACCCACCCGGAGGATTCAGAGGCACAGGATTCACAGCCCATTCTGTTGACCTGCCACACCGCCCCAGCTCTGGGCAAGGCCCTCCCCAATTGTTCCGCCTGCTAACATGAGGGGGGTTAGACAAGGGGGGATGGGGGGGTGGACGAGCAGTAAACAGTGGGCTGAGCTTCTCTCCTTCAGCGCACAAAGGGGCTGAATTGTGTCGGGACTGGAGCACTTTTTAGAGTGGCCCTGCCATGGGGCCTGAATGAAACATCTGTGGAGGCTGAGCCCGAGGGAGAAAATGCTATTTTGCTGTTCAACCACACTGACAACCTGTTTTCTCTTTCTTTACCCCTACACCCCCCCATCCCACACACCACCACCACCACCACCACCACCACCTCCCCTCACTGTTATTTCTCCCTTGGCCTTGTAAAACTATTCATACTGTATACTCACATTTGCCAAGCAAGCAACAGAGAAGCAACAGTAAATGAGAGAGAGGGAGATGACTTTGAAAGTTTCAATGAGGATACTGTGAACTGGAAATTGTATTTTTACATATCTGCACATGATTTTCTTTCTTTTTTTTATTCAGTTGAATTAAATTAACTTTATTTCATTGGGATAATCCAATCAGTATCAACGCCACTCTCCAAACGAACAATACAAAAAGTGCAACATATCAAACACATAAGGAACAGTCTGTCCAACTGATTCCAGTTATGTATAACTCAAAGCTTATAATGAAAATGAGTCCTGATGAGCTATATACAAAAATCTTTAAATGGAATATCAGTTAGCAAGTGGGGTAACATTTTGCATTAAGACAGGGATAAAGTGACACATATGATGACATGACAAAATATATCTTTTTCCCTTCCAGGATCTGTTTGCAAATGCATGAGAAAATTCCAGTTTATCACATCTTGGGTTTTATGTTTCTAGTTTTTAATCACTTCTACTCATTGTGAAAATACTGTACTCAGTGTCAGACAGGGTAAGAAACAAGCAGTTAAACCACATTATTTGGAGGTCAAATCTAAAGTGAGTGTACCCAAAATGTTGGTAATAATTCATATATGGCGGGTATGGGAGGTCAAAGTTGAACCAGAAAGTCTGTCTGTAAAACTTGATGGATGTTTGCAATGGACAGTTTAATTTTACATATTGCCTTCTTTGTTTTTTGAGTGTAACCTGAGCATTTGTTCAAAAACCATATGGTAATCCGACTGCTTATTTTTCTTGTGTCCCATCAAAATGTCAGTAACGTAATCTCACCACATTTCGAGACAATTCACTTGGTGAGTACAATGTTACTATTTACCAGTAGCAAGTCATTTACATCAAGGAACTGACCATTTATAGCAAACTTATATAGTAATATGTGAAGGAAAAGGTTCTTCTCTTTGGTTGGGCTCTTAAAGAATCCCAATTACCACGAGGATGGATAACTAATCCCTCTTAACAAACATATGGTGGAAGGAGTTGACTGTGTTGGCATGCACCAATTAGCAGAGTAACAGTGATAAGTGGCAGCGTATAATGTCTACACTGTGTACACCTGCATGAATAAGATTGCAACTAATGATATTGAGGATTATTTGAAACAGTCGATGCCAATCAGCCAGTGCCTTAACTAATGCTTGTTATATTTATAACAAAAACTATGAAAATAAGTTGTGGAACTATTCTTTAATGCAAATACAGTAGGGTATGGAGGCTTTCTGTCAGCTTCCACAGAGAGTCGATCTATCTATCAGCCTCACCTCTATAAACCCCCCTCTCCTCTTCCAGAAAGAACCCCCACACTCAGCCCTATTTCCCCACAGTCCTGCTCCACCATATGCAGCTCAAAGAGAGAGACCACTGAGACATTTCAGTTTAATTGAAGGGGTAACAAAGATCCCTTGCTTACTTCCTGGTCACCCATTTTCTTTGATCAATTTCCTCCCTTTGGTCCTATATCATCTGTAATTACTTTCCTTTTCCCGCCCCTCGTGGGTTCCTCCTGGAGCAAAAGTCCACACACACACACACACACACACACACACACACACACACACACACACACACACACACACACACACACACACACACACACACTTATTGCTAACCCCCTACCGTAAGCAGGCAATACCTTCGGCCTCAATACTCGTTGCCCCCCTTTAGCTCCTCCAGCCTGAACAATAGAGAAGGCCCACAGGCTCCAGAACCCCACTAAGCAACCCCTGACCCTGCCCACCTACTCTACTAAACCCCTACACACACACACACACACACACACACACACACACACACACACACACACACACAGGTTCATGTGGTATGTACTTTTATATTCAAGTCGTAGGCATTGTCACACATGCACACACAGCTCACACGAGTCTGCATTGAATGGGGGGAAGGAGAAGAAGAGGAGGAGAGGCAGGGTGGTGGTGGTGGTGGTGGTGGGGGGGGGAGCAGGGCCACTTTAAATACCAGCTCAGCTTGTAATCACTGGAGTTTGAACTCAGAAGACTTCTTATGCTAAGAGGTCAAGAAGCCAGAACACTCATTCGCTCCTTTCTTTCTTCCCTGCTGCCCTCTGTCACTCACTTCTCTCAATGGGTCTCTCTGATCCATAAGCTGGTTGCGTACAGTGAAACCAACGCTGATATCCTGAGTGTGTTGTCTTCAGAATTTTCTACAAGAGCACATAAGTAAGACAAATTCATCGTGGCACAAGCTTGACTTCCTCCTGCGCTCAAGTAAGTCAGGTGAATTGTCTGCCAAATGGTAATTTTCTGGAAGAACTGAGCTTTATTTGCAAATAATTCCCAAGGAAATTCATTAAAATGAACCTGCCTGCCAAAGCGAATATGAAAACAATGCCTTTAAATATCTTGTGTTGAACCCGCTGCTTACTTCAGGAAATTTTGTGTACATCTGGTATAGGCTGGATAAAAATGCCCTCCAAATTATACACCTTTATTGGACTTCACATTTCCCAAATATGACCACCCAGAGGATGCATACCACCCACGCACTATTGAGTGGATTTATCACTCAGCTGATGCCAGTGTGCTTGATGAATGAAAGCGGCTTACAGTATTGGCATCGTTACCTTGTTTGATGGGGAAGCGAAACATAAGAAACACTATATAAATAGGTATTAGCCATGGGAATAGGAGAGGAAAGGTGTTGCCTGCAGGCAACAATCACAATGTAAATGCCAAGAAAAGTGCTGGTGCAATATTGTAAAAAAAATAAAGAGCTGAAGAGGAAACGTTTGTGTGTGGTAAAGAAAGGTCTAAAATTGGCTTCCAGTTAGTCAGCAGTGCAGTGGGATACAGATAGGAGGTAAACAGCCGTGTCAGCCAGAGGATACAGAGATTGCTGTAACTAATGATTATTTTTACTACCACTTAATCTTTTGATTATTTCTTTGCTTAATCCCTTAATTATTTAGTTTAACAAATGTAACAAAATACAGAAAAAAGCACATCACAAACTGCCAAATGTCTTGTTTTGTCCAATCCGTTCAGTGCAGGAGGAAGATATTCAATTTA